CAGATTCGTTTCCTACGATATCATTCGTTTTCAGAAAACTGTGTACACAATAAAATAACGTACTACAGATAGTTTATTTACATACTATACAGGATTGGAGATTCATGGAATCGATAATACTATCAATGCGCGAATTTATTAATCGACGTGTATTATGTATATGTTTTTCCCTATTTTGAAAAAACAGGAATCGCGCAAAAAGAGTTGGCGGGGTTATTTAATGAAGAAAAGAGTCGTACTTGTTATGAAAATAGGTAATGTCACATGTACGNCAGATTCGTTTCCTACGATATCATTCGTTTTCAGAAAACTGTGTACACAATAAAATAACGTACTACAGATAGTTTATTTACATACTATACAGGATTGGAGATTCATGGAATCGATAATACTATCAATGCGCGAATTTATTAATCGACGTGTATTATGTATATGTTTTTCCCTATTTTGAAAAAACAGGAATCGCGCAAAAAGAGTTGGCGGGGTTATTTAATGAAGAAAAGAGTCGTACTTGTTATGAAAATAGGTAATGTCACATGTACGCACCCTTTCTACAGAAAAGAAGAACGTTTGGATTCGATGTATTAGAAAACGCAGAATTCAGTCTTAAAGGTAGGAAGCACGCGTATTTCCTAAATAGCTCGCTTTGGTCTTCGAACTGCGTTCATGTTATATGTATGTATATGTTTGTACATGTATTTCATCGCATCACTTTTACCTGATAATGTAATATTAATAAACATCTCAGCGAGACTGTGATTATTTATGATGCAATTGATATACATTTTAAAATTTTTCACAACGCGAAAATTAATAAATAGGAATGACCAGAAAATAGTTGGGCATTAAACTCGAAGAATGCCCCTATAGCACAATCAATTCACACAATTGATCACTATAACGATCATTCTTCACTATTCGTAAGAGGAAAGTAAATTCGTCATTGCAATGATACATGTTACTCTTAAATATTTATCTATACGTAATTCCTTATCCGTGATTTTCTCGTACAATCTGTTCATTTCGGCTTTTAATAAAAGTTTTGTTTTGAGTCCCTAATCCTTCTGAAGGTACTGTGACAGAAGATGAGGAAGAAGACGATGAACACAAGGAAGAAGTTGAAGAAGATGAAGAAGAAGAGGAGGAAGAAGATGGTTCATCATTAAAACTTGAGGTGGCAGCTAAACCAGGAGATAGGCTACCCACAGGTCGAAATGAAAATCCAGAAGAATCGAGACTCGACAGACTCGATTCTGGAGTTCCAGTCGAATTAATAGTTGGATGGAGACTAGATATTGCCACATCCAATCTGTATAAAATAAAAAGGGGAATTAATAAATCGATATTTTTTAAATCTTATTATAGCTTGTTTTTTGAAAGAAAGGACCTAAGAATACCATAGTTGTCATAATAGCTGTTCACTCCAATTTAATCGTTCAAATGGTATCAGTAGTACGATTTTGATAGAGTGAATAGTTATTAAAACTAACAGCATTCATAAAGTTTTTTTTTTAGAAAATAGTAATAACAAATATAGTAGTAGTTTCATAGTAATAACAAATATAGAGATACCTAGACGTGGCCGAGGTTAATAAACCAGAGGTACGTTTTGTTGGTGGTTGTAATTGATGATCCATTCCACTGTCATCTAATTCAAATTTTCTCTTAACTGATGCTAAACAACTTGGCCGTATTGCAATAGGACTTAAACTTCGCCTAAATAATAAAATATAGTTTTACAAAATGTTTCGTTGCCTCATACAATATGTACATGCTGTTTCTTATAGATCAAATGACATACCTGGTAGCAAAAGCTTTCCTGGTAGGGCTAGGTGATAAATTATTCTTCCAAGTAACTGCATGAACACCAGGTGAATAACATTGCCTCTGACCAAAATTAGATCTTGTTGGTGATGGTGAAGAATATGTAGTTTGGCCATTTACAGATAAATTGATACTAAGTGGATCAAGCACTCGTTTTGCAATTGGGCGTGATTCTATTTTAAATTGTAACGAAGTTGATTCTGAATCTTTGAAAGATAATCCTTCCGCTTCAATTGTGAGATCCTCCCAAGACTGTGAGATTTGCATGGCACTGTGAATTTCTTTTTCATGTGCTGCTTCACGACCAGCGACATCGATACATTCTTCTTGTCTTAACTGACTGACACGTGGAGTTAATCTAGGAACGGTTCCAGAACTCTACAAGAATGAAGGTTCCTCAATTTTAAATACAGTCTATCCTATCGTATATAGTATAAATCTCGACAAAGAGAATTTGACATTCTATTCCTTTGTGTTTCATTTAAAATTCATCTATGCACTGATAAAAATAAATACTATGTATATACAAAAAATAAATTTACTTACACTCGTGCTGAAGCGTCGTATACGAGGTGAATTTGAAAATATATTAAAATTCGATGGAACATCCCTAAAACAGTCAAAATGAATATGTTTTGATAATTGTCAGGAAACTATTGCCATGTATGATGTTAGTTTACATGGTTCGTAAGAAAATTAATGTCAGTTGAAGATATAACGTACCTTGGAGTAGTAGCAGTAGGTGATGTCATAGACATTGTTGCACTAATTTTATTGATCATAGGAGCACTATTAGAACGTTTTAAACCAACTATTGTACAATCAACATCCATGATCATATAAACCAGCTATCTGATAGTGCATCTGTATAGAGACACTATTCAAATAATCGGAGTACATTGGAGCATACACAACAATGTAGTTCACTCGATAAACCAATAACTAACTTTTGGCACAGGGTAGATTATTATTTCTTTTTCTGCTGCTGCTGTTCGAAGATTCAATAATAAGGAATCCAGTCGTTTGGCACGAGAATTGAGAAAATGCCGCATTTGAGCTTTCATTTATACTCCACCGATCCGATTATCGTTAGACGATTTGACACGCTGTTAGCGTGAAAATTTTAAACAAGTATAAATATTGTTGAATCGGTAGAATGCATAGCAGGAGGCCGAAACATTAAAATACAAAAATCAATTCGACTTTTCTTGATATTTAGTTCAACTTGAACTGCCATACATAAACCGGGTTAGAAAGCACAACTTAATTTTATTTCGTAACGCTAGATTTTCCAATAAGTATCACTAACTGCAATCAAATTATCATTTGTAGAAATGTCTCTGTCGAGCCTCTGAGGTTACTTATTGTAAAACACGCGTATGCGGAATCTGACTACGATCTCTTTGCTTCCTTAGGAAATATGTATCTTCGTGATGAAGAAGCACACTGAATTTGTTGGTAGCCTTGTTGTGTCTTCGTTTATGGCGGTGTGCACCAGACCGTAACGGATCGTGGCGCTGCAGTTGTGCGAACGGACATTAGACAAACCAAATTAGAAATATTTTCGACCGGCAGGTGGCACACGCATATGTTTCTGTGATCACGGGTATCGGTAAAAATGTAACGGAAGAGAGAAAGCAAGCTAAAAGAGAAGGATAGCGACTAAACATGGTTGCCACATTTCATTCCGCGCAGTATGGGGACTGCCCCGCACGCCACATTCCCCTGGTCTAGTAACCTAGCGCGCGGCAGAACGGGCTCATGAAGCAGGAATCAGTTTCATGAAACTCAGTTTGTGAAACAGTTTTGACGACATGGCAACATTGCGGCGCGGAATGAAATGTGGCAACCATGATTAGTCGCTATCCTTCTCTTTTAGCTTGCTTTCTCTCTTCCGTTACATTTTTACCGACACCCGTGATCACAGAAACATATGCGTGTGCCACCTGCCGGTCGAAAATATTTCTAATTTGGTTTGTCTAATGTCCGTTCGCACAACTGCAGCGCCACGATC